TGCTGCTTGGCCTGCTGTGTTCATCCAGCCCTGCACCTTGTTGTCTCATACCTCTCCCAGTTGGGTATAAATGACCCTCCGCATTAACCTATTCCCTGCCACTATTTAACACCTGAGCACACCAGTTCCAACAATGTAACCATGTAGCATCATCTTCAATAAATTACTCCACTGTCTCAATATTATTACTCAGCAAGTGACTCACTGAATTCATCCTTATTTAAATTCATTTGTGTAGGTATTTATGGCTGGGCCAGCATTTATTGCCATAAACCGAATGTCTTGCTAGGCTATTTCAGAGGACAGTTATGAATCCACCATGTTGCTGTGGATTTGAAGTTACATGTAGGTTAGACCAGTTAGTAAGGATAGCAGATTAACTTCCCTGAAGTGAATTTAGTAAGCCATGTGGGATTTTACTGCAAACAACAATGGTGATCTGGTTGCAATTAGACTAGCTTTTAATTTCAGATTTTCTTCCCCAAGTCAAATGTCACCATCTGCTGTGGTGGAATTCAAACCCATTTCCGCAGAAAATTAGGCACTCTGGATTAATAGTCTAATGACACTGCCACTACGCAACAGCCTTCTCCTTACACACAAAGTTTCATTCCTGAAAATTACAGTGAAATATAACAGGCCTCACCATGTGCTTGCATCTTGGTCCTCACAAGTGCCAAAGGGTAGCTGCCCAACTGACCACAGGTGCTGGAGATGGTGCCACAGCCAAGATGAACAAAGATTCCAGGGTCACTTGGGTTTTTACCGGAACTCTGGCAGTAGGTTTTCTTCACACTCTTGATTGAATGTGAATAAAATACACAAATAAAGAATAATTCACAAAGCTGGAAAGGAACAGATACTAAGTCAAAACATAAGATACCTACAGACATGTCAGTTCACAAATCTACAGCGTGTGTTTTCAGTTACACTGCTGTATTGATGTATAAGCCAAACAATTGCCATTAGGATGTAGGAACAGTGGAAAGATGGAATGTGTGAAATATTCCTGTTAATGCCTGTAATACAGGACACACCTTTAGCCTTGGACCTTGCCTAGTTGCTGGAGAGTTTTGAGTATAATTAAGAGTATGACACAACATTGAATGATATTACAACGTTTTCTTACTCAGTGCATCAGTGATGGGACAGCAAAGATGGATGGAGATGCTGAGGACAGAGTCACCTGACTAATGTCTTAGTGTTTATGGAAATGACTGGTTGGGCATCAATAGATCATGCATATGATACTGACAGGGAAATGACTCAATTGCATTGTCAGCATTTTCCGACATTTACACAGGACACATTTCACTTCTAACCACTGTCCAAATCTGTCAGTGACCATGTTCTGTGCACTTGACCAAACAAAGGGTAAAGGGCAAATGAGAAGCTTCAGTCAATATTTTGGAGGTCATTTCCTCTTTTATGAATGAACATACGATACTGCCAATGCTGGATATCTGAAAAACAGGAAGTGCTGGAGAAACTCAGCAAGTCTGGCAGCATCTGCCAGGATTCTCCAGTTCCTTTGGCTTATATTTGAGATCTGCAGAATTATAATACTTTGCTTTTGTTTTATATTGGAGCTTGTGGAACACTCAGGCTCTAAATATACACGGTGGGAACAGACAAAGGTCATGAGGAGGCAGCATGACATAAACTGTGAGGAGGCAGCATGGCACAGGCCATGTGCAGAACCACGACTGGGTACCATGAGTAGGTCCTATCAAACAGCAGTGTAAGGAGGCTGCATAATTATTTTCAAGTTACTTTTGGGCCAAGAGCACCATAATTCTATGTATTCGCACCGACGCTGGACCAAATATCCAAATTACATTACGTATAAGGAATAGTTTTTACAGGGGCACAATTTCATGCAAATGTACGGTATTTATTTTGAAACTTACTTCGTATACAGTAAGCTCAATCCCTGCATAAGGAATGATGCCCAGAAGGTTTGGAATGTACCCTACATAAAGGGCAGAGATGCCTTCATTTTTGATAAGGATCCTTGCACAGTCTTTGATGCTCTTGTACTGTCCCGTTTGCCCCAATGCCAGTCTTGTCTTCAGTACCTAAAGTACAAAAAAGAAGCAAGCACTTCTTGTCAGACAGTCAGTGATGCCAGTATGTTTAGATTTCATTTCACTTTGTTGTTTTTGGGTTAGAGGGAATTTCCAAATGTAACAGACAAAATAAAGCTCCAGAGATTTTAGAAAGCTGCAGACACTTACAGTAATTCAAAATATCCCAGGGAGAGTGTTGGTGAGAGCTGTGCACTTGATATGACTTATCAACTAAACTAAAGTTCATGGAATTGAAGGGGGAGTGGCATTGTGGATGAAATATTGTCTAAGTAATGTTGAATGGTTGTTTTTCAGACTGCAGCGAGGTATGCAGCAGGAGATGATATCAAAGATATGTATTCATTGCTTGGCCACAGAGGGCATCATCACACAATATTTGCACATATAATGAAGCACAAGAGCAAAAAGGTGCTGTCTTTGATAGGACTCAAACATACTGATGATATGAGCAGATACATGGAAGATAAATCTTAATGCAGATGAGTGTGAAATGATACATTTAATTTAGGAAGACTAAGGAAAAGCAAAATGAATATAATGGCACCACTGCAGAGATCCTGGGCTTTATAAATGGAGTGCAGAGTATAAAAGCAAGGAAGTTAAATTATGGTTAGATCTCAGCTGGAATATTGTGTAGAATTCTGGGCAGTGAAGGACTTGCAGATGCTGAAGAGCAGTTATGAGAGATCACCATTAAGTACAGGAGTTGGAGAAGTTGGATTGTTCGCTATATAGAGGGAAAAGTTAAAGCAAGATTTTGTCACTTGTGAAAAATGAAGTATTTTAATAGAATAAACAATTTCCAGTTATAGAAGAATTAGTACCGAGGACATAAATTAAAGCTAAAATTAGAAAATTGTTGATCAGAACAGCATCAAAAGAAGGCTATTAAGCCTATTAAATCTGTGTAACATCTTTCAAAGTACATTCCAGTTAGACCACTCTCCACTCTTTCTATGTACTCTCAAATTTTTTTCTCTGAAAAGTATTTAGTCAATCACTTTTTGAAGGAATTTGAACCCACCATCAAAGTTCCATAAAAATTGTTCCTGGTTCTTTTGTTGGTTGTCCTAAATCTATTCACTCTGTTTATTGACCTCTCAAGCTAATGAAAACAGTTTGGATGCTGTCTGACTTGCCATGCTTCTCCAGCTTCATATCAATTGACTAATGGAAACCGTTTGTCTTCATTAATTGTAACTAAAACAAATACAGGAACAGCAGCATAGTGATTTTGTTACTGTATAGGTAATACATAGGTTTCAGAAGAGATTTACCATATTGTTGTCTGGTAATGGAAGGTTTGAGTTATAAAGAAACGTTGGATAGGCTGGGACTTTTTCACTGGAGTGTAGGAGGTTGAGAGGTGTCCTTATAGAGGCTTATAAACTCGTGAGGAGTATAGATGGGGTTAATTGTAGGTGTCTTTTCCTTAGCATGGAGGATTTCAAGACTATGGGGCATAGTTTCAAGGTGAGAGGAGAGAGATTTAAAAGATGAGACTGTTACAGACTCTTCCAGTGGCGGTACCACTGCTCGTGTTTCTGCCAGTGGGATCTGACTCAATGCATCCGTATTTGCTACTTGACCTCTGGGATAGTGTTTCACCTTTGTAATTATCTGCACTTAGAATTAGAGCTCACCATTGAGTTCGGCCTGAGGCTATGGGCGGCACTGCCTTGTCCTCTTTAAGCAGACCTAGCAGGGCTTTGTGGTACATTACTATTAAAACTTTGCATCTGTAAAGGTATTGGTGGAACTTCCTGACTGCAAATATGACCGCCAAACCTTCCTTCTCTCTATGGATGTATTTATGCTCTGCATTAGCCAAAGTCCTGGATGCATATGCTATTGGGCATTCCTCTTCATTGGGTCATCTATGAACTAATACTACCCCAATGCCGTTTGGGGAGGGATTGCACGTCAATACCAGGGATCATAGTATGCCAACACCTTAGAGGGTGGTAGCTGTTTCCTCACTTCCCTGAAGACTATGGCTTGGCGATGCAACCATTTCCAAGGCTGACCCTTTTTTTAAGAGTTGATGTAAAGGTGCCAGGATAAAGGCCAGGTTATGTATGAACTTTCTGCAACAGTTCACCAGCCCAAGGAAAGACCTAGGCTCTGGTACAATGTTACAGCCAAGGCACCAATGATTGCCCTCACTTTATTTTCCAGCCAGTGTAACCTTAGTGTTGTCAACTCTGTATCCCAAGTAGGTAATGTTTGGTGCCTGGAATATGCATTTTTCCCTTCTAAGATGTGCACCCATCTGGGAGAAACATTTATGGACGATGTCCAAGTTCTCCAAGTTCTCCTTATTGATCTTCTCGGTTATTAGCGCATCATCTAGATAAATGGCAACTTGGGGGTGGACCCTGTAAAATGTTCGCTATCATCCACTGAAAAATTGCACAGGGTGATAATATCCCAAATGGCAGTCTCGTATATTGGTACAAACCCTTATGGCAGTTAATTGTAGCACACATCTGGGAATCCTTATCGAACTGCAGTTGCAAGTACTCATGGCTCATGTCCAACTTTGTGAAAGACAGCACCCCTGCCAGCTTTGTGTATAAATCCTCTTCACCAGGGATTGGGTATTTATCCAGCTGAAAATGTGGTTTACCATTTGTTTAAATGCCCCAGAAAAGCAAAACGACACATCGATCGACCGGTACGACCGGTGTTGCCCTTTCCGCAAACTGGACTGGTTTGATAATTCTTTTGCTTTCCATCCTCCTGATTTCTGCCTCTACTTTTGCCCATAAGGCAAATGGCACTCAGGAGTCCTTGCAGAATTGTGGAGTTGCTTCCTGGTCAACGTGCAAGATGGCCTTGGCTTTTTAGATGGTCCCTAAATCTTCCTGAAAATTTCCTGGTATTTAATTAGGACTTCACTCAGGCGGCCATCTTCTAATCAAAAAATGATGAGGCAATCAAGGTGAATCTTTCTCAACCAATTTTGCCCCATCAAGTTTGGGCCCAAGCCTTTTCCTACACTCTGTGGTAACTGAACCAGCTGCTTCTCATAAGAGACTGGAACCGAAGTTTCCTGGGTAATAGGTTCTCAGTCTAGCCGAGGTCTTGCGCAATCTTAGGGCTTGGAGTTTAGAGTGAATTTTGTTAAAGATTGGTTCTGCAATCACTGAAATGACTGCACCAGTATCAGCTTCCATTGGAACAGGGTAAACATTTAAGCAATTTAACTGTGTCCAAACCAGAAGTAGGTGGACTTTCCAGGGTGTGCACTCTCCTGGATACTAGACTATAAGTTCTGTTACTCAATTCAGGTCTAGTGGGAGTCTTTTGCTGTCTTGAGAATGCATGCTGGCAATAACTACAATGGCTTGCCGATCCCAATCCTGAAGAAAATTTTAACAGTTTGGCTGAGGCTTGGCTTTGCTTTGGGGTTTTTCTGTGGGCTGACCTTGAGTCCCTCAGTTTAGGATATGTCCTGCGTGAGTCTATGCCATTGCGTTCAATCAATTGCTGCTTCCCACCTCAATCAGAGTGGTAAGGGTGTCCACTTCCGTTGGAATACCCTGCAACTCATATGTTCCACTTTCCGCATTTTCCAATGATAATGCCAGTTACAATGCCTGTTAGAAGTCCAGTTGGGCTTCAACTAGTAGGCGCTTTTGCACGGTTACATCATTAATGCCACATACCAAGTGGTCTCTCAGTATCTCATTTAAGGATTAAACCAAAGTCACATGCTTCTGTCAGTTGTCTTAACCTAGTCAAAAATCCTGATATGGATTGCCCTGATTCTCGAATTGCTGACTAAAACTGATAGCATCTCAGTATTAGAGGAGGCTTGGGGTTGTAATATTGCTTAACTAAATCCATCAATTTGAAAGGTTTTAGTTTCTGATGCTTCAAGGAAAGTGAGGCTTCTAATAACCAAAAGAGCTTCACAACCCTCAGGAGAATTACTCATTGCTTTTCATCTGCCCCAATGTTATTTGCCCGGAAAAAATTATGCCGTCTTTCCACATACTGGGCCCAGTCTTCAAAGGCAAGATTGAACAGTCAGGCTTCCTGCTGGGGTGGCACAGTGGCTCAGTGGTTAGCACTGCTGCCTCACAGGGCCAGGCACCCGAGTTCAACTCCAGCCTCGGGCAACTGTCTGTGTGGAGTTTGCATGTTCTCCTGCTAGCTGCGTGGATTTCCTCCCACAGTCCAAAGATGTGCAAGTTAAGTGGATTGGCCATGTTAAATTATCCCATAGTGTTCAGGGATGTATAGGTTAGGTGTGTTATCCATGGGAAATCTTTGGAGGGTTGCAGGGGGATGGGCCTGGGCAGGATGCTCTTTGGAGTGTCAGTGTGGGCATGTTGGGCTGAATGGCCTGTTTCAGTACTGTACAGTTTCTGTGGATACTCCCCAAATAATGGCATGATACAATTCAATCATCCTAATTCAAAAACAACTGTTGTGAGCAAATTTCTTCAAGGTTGTGCTTTTCTTTTGTTGCACTGAAATAACTCCACAGAGGCTGATATCTAGTCACTAAGACACCCTTTATTTACACATGGAAAGTCCTTGACACTGATCCAGCTTCGTCAGAGCCAGCTCTCAGGGTGAACAGAACCTCTGATACACCTGTTTATAAGTCAGCCAGAGCTCCCTGATTGGACCAGATTAACAGCCCCAATCAGGGAACTCATATTCTATGCTGTCCATCTGGCTAACCTCATTACAACCACTACTCTGCCTACCACTAATTTTCATAGCATTGTATGCTTTTTAATTCATTTGATAGAATTATTCTTCAATCTTTCCTCTTCAATGTAATGAAAGTTTAAGGCTTTGATTACAGATTCACATTTCTCTCTTTCAAATTGGATGTGATATTCAACATGTTATGATATCTCCTTATTAAGAAAGAACATAATTGCATTAGAAACAGATTGGACAAGGCTCACCAGACTGATTCTTCGGATGAAAGAGTTATCTTGCAAGGAAATATAGGGCAAGTTGGAGCTGTGTAATATCCTAACACCCTTGACAGAATGGATACTGAGTGGATGTTTCTCCTGTGGGAGAGACTAGAACTAGGCAATACAGTTTAAATACAATGCGTCTCCCATTTAAGACAGAAGAATTTTTTTTTTCCCTCTCAGAGGAATGTGAGTTATTGGTTGGTGGCCTGAATATACAACATGGATATATCTTCTAGCCTATCATTGCTAACGTGACTTGTCCAATCAACATGAACGTTAACATCACCCACAATTATTGTCTTTCTTGCAAGCCCTGATTATTTCTTGATATTTTTATAATATAATTGCTTATTTGCATTTATTTTGTTTATTATTTTGTTGTCTTGTCAATAATCTACTCCTATCACTGCCTTCTTACTACCCACCTCCTAGTATTCCCCTCACCTCCAGGGACCTGCCCCAGTTCCTAATTTGTACCCCCTCAGCTCCTGGGAATTCCACATCCTGTATTATTCCATCCTCTCCTTCCTTGGGCTCCTCTTGCTGGAATATCTTGCCCTTCAGTTAAATGTTGCTCTGCTGAGCACTCATTAGTCATATCTGATGCTCCCCAGATCCCACATAACCTGTGAGTCAAACATCCAGATCAAAATATTATCTCAATTGTTTTAAGGAAAGTTGAAGATTTAGTCCAGTTTTCAGCTGAAGTATCTTGTACAAGTCTGGGCACCACACTTCAGGAAGGGCTCCATATCCTCACAGAAGATTCAGGTGAAGTATACCAGGATGATATGAGCGATGAGAATCTGCAGTTATATGGAGAGATTGGAAAAGTTGAAATCGTAGTTCCTAAAGCAGAGAAGGCTCCAAGGAGACTAAAGAAGGTGTTCAAGATTGTGCACAGGTTTGTCGAACAAATGGGGAAAACTCCTTTGGGCAAGTGGGTCATTAGTCAGAAGTTTTAGAATGAGAGGAGAGTTGAGGAGGAAATGATTTCATGAAGGTCTGTTAAGATCAGGCAATGTACTATCTGGAAAAATTAAATTTGGAAAATAACTTTGGAAAAGAAATTGGATATATATTTGAAGAACACTGATTTGCAGGGTTTCTGGGGAAAGGATACGGTGTTAGATAAATTTTGACCATGATGTGGAGATGCCAGTGTTGACTAGGGTGGTCAAAGTTGGAAGTTACACGACACCAGGTTATAGTTCAATAGGTTTATTTAAAATCACAAGCTTTCAGAGTGCTCCTCCTTCACCTGATTTTAAATAAACCTGGTGTTGAGACTTCTGACTTCATAAATTTTGATGGTCATGGTAAGAGACATGGGAAGAGATATGCCAGGCTGAATTGCCTCAGTCCCTGCTTAAGGTTCTGTGATTTTAATCTAGGATTCTAAAACATCGACTCCTGATTCAGTTGTTATATGTAAACTTGTCAAAGCTTTTCACAGCTAGATATAACATTACCTTGCAGAATCACTGGAGTCTGATTGTAATGACCAGGGCCAGACATTTCTTTCTTAGCCATTTGTATTACCAGAATTGGACTGTGAGCTCTGAATTGCTCTGGATCATACAAGGGATTTTCCAGCTCTAACTGGCAACATTTTACCCTGTGTGGTGTATATTTACCTGTGGATACACCAGCCAGTCACCCTCCCTTCACATATCTATGAACAGAAACAATTTGAATCGGTCAAACCACAGTGTGTTTGAACAAATCTAAACAAAAAGAAAGTGAGTAATTACAAACTGAATTTTTCTATCCAGCATATTTCCAAGCACGCACCAAGTAAAACATTTCCGTCAACAGTACTTTTAGTTTTAGTGTCCTGCAGAAAACAGCACATTCGGAGAGTCCCTACCTCCATTGGATAAACGATGGTCTGAGCAGTTACCCCAGCGAGCGATCCTGCTATAAAGCGTTCATGGATATCTAGCTTGGAGTGGGTATCATCAAAAAACTTCTTATACTGTGCAAAAATGCAGAGCAGGAGAATATCTTCATTACAATCATATTTATGTAATTAATTTAGTAACATCTAACATTTTTCTGTTAATTTAGTGAGCTTACCTGATGATAATCAAGCATGAATGGACATCTGCAATCACTAACATTTGAATTAATCATTAAAGAAGACCTCCAATGAAAGCAAGCAATCACATATCTCAGAGTACAATAAAGTAGAATCATAGAATCTCTACAGTGTGGAAGTAGACCACACCAACCCTCTGAAGAGCATCCACTCCCCACTCCCCTAACCCCTGCAAATCCACCTAGCCTGCACACCCCTATACACTGTGGGTAATTTATAACAGCCAATCCACTTGACCTGCAAATATCTAAACTGTGCATAAGGAAACCAGAGCAAACACATGCAGACACAGGGAGAATGTGCAAACTCCCCACAGACAGTCGCCTAGTGGCTGGAATTGAACCCAGGACTGTAGCACTATGAGGCAGCAGTGCTAACCACTGAGCCAAGTACTATACAATAAAAGCCATACAGGAGAAACGGTCTGAGCTGGGCAATGGAGTGAATACAAGGCTGACTTCAGGATGCAAGGATCAGGACCCCGCTGAGATGTGTTCAGTGACTGAAAGCACAAAGTGTGCTTGTTGGCTTTGGAATCATGCCTCTCAGTGGATCCAAGATAACAAGAGGAAGCTCCTGCTCCTCTGATGCTGCTTGGCCTGCTGTGTTCATCCAGCTCTACACCATGTTATCTCAGATTCTCCAGCATCTGCAGTTCCTACTATCTCAGTGGATCCAAACTTGTTGACCCCGCATTGTCCAAAATTAGTCACAAAGTGGACTCTGAAGAATGAAGGACTGGAACATCAGGGAAGAAACAAACAATAAACGACCTGATTTCCACACTGCTGAACTTTCCATGACTTCTGATTTTTAATTCCTGTTTATTTATAGTCCTGGAGCAAGGATTATGGAATCTGGCTCCCAGTGAAGGACACTAAAGCATGAGGAACACAGCGATATTATTGAAGACAATGACAACCCATTTCTGGGAAACACAGTAATAGGGAACACGTGTATCTCTTATTCGGCAACTTCTCCTCTGAGAAGCATGCCCATTTCTGTGTTCTTCTCTGTGTATATGTGGATCTGCACTGGGATCAGAGACATTACCAAAGACATTTTCCCTCCCCACCCTTATCTGCTTTCCAGAGGGACCACTCTCTCCATGACTCCCTTGTCCACTCCACACTCCCCTCCAGCCCCATCACACCCGGCACTTTTCCTTGCAACTGCAGGAAATGCTACACCTGCCCCTACACCTCCCCCCTCACCCCCACCCCAGGCCCCAAGACGACCTTCCACATCAAACAGATGTTCACCTGCACATCTGCTAATGTGGTATACTGTATCCGCTGTTCCTGATGTGGCCTCCTCTACATCGGGGAAACCAAGCGGAGGCTTGGGGACCACTTTGTGGAACACCTATGCTCGGTTCGCGACAGATGACTGCACCTCCCAGTCACAAACCATTTCAACTCCCCCTCCCACTCCTTGGACGACATGTCCATCCTGGGCCTCCTGCAGTGCCACAACGATGCCACCCAAAGGTTGCAGGAACAGCACCTCATATTTCGCTTGGGAACCCTGCAGCCCAATGGTATCAATGTGGACTTCACAAGCTTCAAAATCTCCCCTGCCCTGACTGCATCCCAAAATCAGCCCAGCTTGTCCCCACCTCCCTAACCTGTCCTTCCTCCCACCTATCCACTCTTCCCACCTCAAGCCCCACGCACATCTCCTACCTACCAGCCTCATGCTGCCTTCTTGACCTGTCCGTCCTCCCTGGACTGACCTATCTCCTCCCTAACTCCCCACCTACACTCACCTTTACTGGCTCCATCCCTGTCTCTTTGACCTGTCTGTCTCCTCTCCACCTATCTTCTCCTTTATCCATCTTCTATCCGCCTCCCCCTCTCTCCCTATTTATTTCAGAATCCCCTTCCCCTCCCCCATTTCTGAAGAAGGGTCTGGACCCGAAACATCAGCTTTCCTGCTCCTCTGATGCTGCTTGGCCTGCTGTGTTCATCCAGCTCTACACCTTGTTATCTCGGATTCTCCAGCATCGGCAGTTCCCACTATCTCCACATATCAGACGCTAATGCCCATGGATGTGGGGCATGTGTGGCTAGTGTTCATGGAGCATGCCCTGAGATGTTGTTGCCCTATGTCCAATGTGGAAATCATTTGGAACAAGCAGCCTGCTGAATTCGCCAGGTGCTTGCTCTGGTTTCCATGTCGAGTTCTCCCGATGTTGAGCTTGTTTGGTGAGTTTTGCAAGATGGAAAGGTGAAAATTAATGAGGTCAGTTGGGCCATCAACAAGGCATGAAAAAGGCAATTATCCCCTTTAATTAGCAACACATCCTACCGAGTGAGAAACTCACCATGCTGCTTGTGAAAAGCATAAAATATGGTACAAGTTGCAACTGACGTTGGGATGGTCCTCACCAGACTTCTTGTTCAATTTTTACCACACATCTCTCCAGAGGTCACATCATGCATGCCTTTATAAGATTCCACCTTTCGTGTTTGACTGTGTGTTGGTCTCTGTGTGCCTGTGTTTGTCTGTGTCTCCGTGTGTCAGTGCATGTGCCTTGCTGTCTGTGTGTGTGTGTCTCTGTATGTACCAATAACTTTTTGTTTGTTCTTCTGTGTGTCTAAATGTATGTTGCTGTGTTTCTGTCTTTAGTTTGTATCTGCACCTTAACTAAAAAGCAACACCTGAGACATTGTGTCTTTGCACAGCATTTCCTCTCACTAGGCTGATCAGTTAGCTTCCAGAGGGAGAGCTCTAAGGGATCTGTAAATTTACAGCATCTACAAGGTTTTCTGAGTTTTATATATTCAGTATTAAAGTTATGAGGCAAATGAGGTCAGTACTTATATTCGTAAAGTAAAATTTACAAAGTAAATATTTAAAAATTTCCGAATAGAGAATTCCTTAAAAAGTGCCAATTACCTGATCATAAGCCAGAAACTTGATGCCAGTCTCTGGTGCTATTTTTGTCACATTCATTCCATTTCCTCTCCAGAGTGAGAGGTAACCACCTTCTTCCACCATTGCCTTCCAGCTGCTAACCAAGTTCTGGTGCTGTTTGGCAGAATATACCTAGAGAAAAGGGTAACAGGATTTTTTATAACCAAACTCCCTTTTTGCATTTTATCTAATCTTAGATATGCATCTTATGATTTTATAAGGCAGTATGGTAATGTTACATTGTAATCTGGGGTGGAAATATGTTGTGGGGCACTGTTGTAATGATGTGATATAAAGCAGTGTTGTACAGCATTTTGAAATGTTGCAGTGTTATAGCGCATGTTGTAATGTGTATTGTATTGCAGTATATTATATTGTGCTGATTTACACAGTTGTTGTATTTCCTCCTGCAGAGACTGTAACAAGGTCAGCCAACTGGACTTCATAGCATATGAGTTCCCTTACTGGGGCTGTTAATCTGGTCCAATCAGGGACCCCCGGCTGACAGATAAAAAGTGAATGTCAAAGATACTAACAGTCTGGTACCTGATTCTGATGAGTCAGTACTAAAGTCAACGACTGTTCATGTATAAATAAAGGGTGATTTAGTGACAGGAGACCAGCTTCTGCCAAGTTATTTCACCCCATCACCCCCCCAAAACAGGTGGAGCCGGTGGCATAGTTGTAAGTAAAAATAAAGCCCTGCTCTCAGAGAGAGACAACTGATGGTGGTTTAACCTGAAGGCCACCATGCCTCAGGCAAGATGCATGTGAGGTTAAGAATGTGAGTCCTTCATGGTAACTTCAGCCAGTACAGGAATTGAACCCACAATATTGATGTCACTGAAAATCAGCCATCCAGCCAACTGAGTTAGTGGTAATCACATAAAGGCTGATGTGACTAGCACTTAGAATCAAAGAATAGCTAAGCACAAAAAGAAGCCATTCAGCTCATTGGGTCTGCACTGGTACTTTCAAAGATCAATCCTCTGCTCTTTTCCCATGTTCCTACTATCTTTTTCACCATTGGCTTCCATTTAAAGCTACAATTTTGAGGCTGCATTCATCAGCCTACTGTACTTTGCATTCCTAATGAAAACCACTGTTTATTACAAGAACTAAGATTGTTGTTATGGCAAGGATAAAATTATTGTCGAATCAGAGATAGTAGGAACTGCAGATGCTGGAGAATCCGAGACAACAAGGTGCAGGGCTGGATGAACACAGCAGGCCAAGCAGCA